AGCGTTGTCGAGGCATCCGCGGCGCCACCCAGCCGGGGGAGGTGAGAGAGGGGGTGTTCGAGATGCAGTCTCTGAACACATGCATTGTATATCGGATGATGTGGATCATCCCAACACGGTTCGGAACGCCTGACGTCGAGCAAAACCCAGCTCCTCTAACCTACAAATGGCGAGCACGCCAAACTTTTCAGTGAAGTACGGGTTTAAAGGGTGGTGTCCAGGAAATCCTGTCGAGGGCTCGCTCGATCCATGCCGTTCCATCCGATCGAGTGCCGGGCCTCTTGTGGCCACATACTGACTGGTGTCACGTTGGGTTCATATTATCTTGATCTAAAATAACCTGTAGCCATAATATATACACGAAAGTGCGAAAGTGTGCCATTAATTTGAACGGCGCGACCCCGTCACAGCCCGGCCACGGATGGTGGTCGAGACGGCAGCCGACGCAACACCTGTCAAGGTCTAGACCACGTCTGCTGGCTCACCCGACCACTCATACGCTCAGTGCTGGCCTGGCCAGATGGGCGACCAACAACGTCGTCGTCATCCCAGCATTTGCCACGCACACATACAGCAGGCGTGATGACCAAACTGCCGCTGCCACCCCACTTCTTCCAGTGCCCGCCTCTAAGTGACACCGACACGGCCAACCTCAATACGTTCGCCGAGCAAGCATCGATTGATGCGGTGGGTGGCGAATAGACGTGCTCAGCTGAATCCAACCCGTTAGATTCGCCACGCGAGAATCGACCACGGCCCGATCTCGTGGTCCATCGTCGAGGACCACCACGACCTCCAAGTCCTGTGCGGCCAGGACCGAACTGCCCCGGCCGGCGTCCTTACATACTGCTCCGTCTCGCACATCTTTGCTACCATTGACGACGTGGCGGGACTCTTTCGAGCGGAAACTACCGACGAGTACCAGGCGTACCGTCGCAATTTTGCCACGGATTTACTAGACGGCGCGCCGTTGTACACGCTGACGTCGCCGACGCCGGAAAATCCTCGCCAGTTTGTCGGGGTCAAGTGGATGGCGGTGGCAAGTCCGGCCCCTGCCATCGTCAAACCCAGAGACTTCTGCGCCATCGAGGTACCGTTCCTCCAGTCGTACCGACCGACGCGTCACTTCTTGTAGTGCCGCTATGACTTTGACACGCAAGGCAAGCGCGGATTCGTCCGATGCATGAAATCCGTCGCCCTCGCTTGCTGCCCCGACCTCGAGGCCACCCTCGGCCTCGTCCGCGGCGTCTACCACCGTGTGGCGTACGTGTTTCTCGAGTCGGACCGGCCTGGGTACCTGCACGCCACCCAACTCTTGCAAATCAACTTTCATGGGAAAATTCCATCGTGGTTGTCGCGGCTGAGTGCCAAGAAACGTGCCAAGGCGCTTGGCGACATGGAGTTGTTTCTCCGTGGCAAGCGGCTGACCGAGTCGGGATTTCTAAGCGACTTTGACGTGGTCGACAAGGCCAGTCGTAGCCGCTGCTTTCTGTGCCAGCGGGCGTTTGGCGCGTTTGGCGGCAAATGGTCGTGCCGGAAATGCGGCGAGGTATCGCATGGATCGAGGAATCGCATGGGCGTTTTGTGACGCGTGGTTGTGTGTAGGTGGTGTGCAAAATGTGCTCCAAGACGTGGCAAGTGCATGCGGATGGCATGCTGCAACACATTCGCGTCTGCACATCGTGCAGCCACCGCTGTGGCGCATCCAATGCCGGCCAACCCCACATGGAACGAACCAAGTCCCTTATGCTTCCCGCGACGCCTGCGTCGACATCACGAGGTACGTGGCACGAGGCTTACCGAGATCGCCGTCCGTGCGCCGCGCTGACGAACGTTGTTCCGCATATAGAATTCATTGCCGCTTCGACAACATCCGCCTCGAGCACCGCCGGGCAATGCAAGCCGCCGCGGCTTACCAAGGCATCGTCAGCGATACCGAGGATCATGTACTCGTCGACAGCGCCAACGACAGCTTCCCCGACTCTACAGAGTTTTGACTTTTTGAACGAATCGATACTTCAAGTCAACGCAGTGGAACCGTTGTCGTCAGCGAGTCGCGCGTCCGGGCGCGTTGTTGACGCCAGCACTCCTCGCCACCGCATGCAGCCCGCGACACCAGCTCGCCATGACAGGGTACACGGGCGACCGACGCGGAATACGCCCGCCGAGCCGAGCCGTCGTCACATCAAGCACCAGCCGCGGTACGATCCGCCCCAAGGCCAGAGCACAGGCATGCCACCTCATCGACTCGCTTCCACGACACCGTGCAATCAAGTGTCGCCGCGTGAGTTATTCCATTCCCCCGTCAACGCCCGCAACGACATCATTCCCCTCGTCATGTCGCCGCCCGATCGTGCATGTATTTAACTTGGATGTCACGTTTGCGAGGAATCGTCCAGACAGTAGCGCGAGTTGCAGGGCTTCGCGAGACCGGACCGCGACACACCCGATACTGTGTGAAGGGTTTCGAAGCTTTCCAGCGAGTGCAAATGGTCGGATCGGTTGCATCAATCGGTCGTCGGATGGCTCGGCTGCCGTGGCCGATGTGGACGCGTCCAGTGCCACACTTTGTCAAGCCCGTGGATCCACTCAGACGGATAGCGTACACCGCATACGCACTCTTGGCATGGGACGGACAGCGCGTTGTGTCGGGCTGGTCCATCGTAGACAGTGCCACGTTGGCGACGTTCGGGTGCCGCCCGCACTCTCCAAGCATGTCATCATCTGGTTTACGCATGGATCATGGCTGTACTGTGGGTGTGTTCGTGGTGCAGACGGCGCGGCCGATCCACGATCGCCATGCCAGGGTCTCTTCCATCCATGGGCTGCCGCGCTGCGTGGAGTGTGCATCCGCGGTGGATCGGCGTCCAGCTTGGGCTCCACGCCATCGTTGTTACGCGCGCGAGACACCATTACGAATGCAACCCCCCTCCAACCGACATCCAGCGTGCTCAGGACCCGATTGTGATGCGACGATCAAGCGGAAGCGACATTCAGACTAGCCAGTCACCGGCCCATGCACATGTGCAAACGTGGGTGGCGCTGCTACTCTGTGCGCGCCAACGCAGCCACGGACGAGCATGACATCCAGCACCGCGGTCGCTGCCTTTCACCGCATCACCCTCAGCTAGTGCCATCCTGTCGCCAATGTGGTCCCGTGACAAGAATTTTGAACACGTTTTATCTAAAACGTCCCCCGAAATACTATTATTTCAACTTTGTATGGACATCATGGCGTATATGAAACCGTCATTTCGACTGGCAAGCAGCCCACTACAATCTACTGCTCGGTCGGTACACTAGCCATCGGATTTACGCCTACATGGTCTCTTTCGGTCCATTTGCATGGCGGTGCATGTACACCGCCATGCACATGGAAACCCCTTGATCATGCTTGTATGCATGCACAATAACGGCGTGTCTGACTGTCGTGAACGTTTTACCGCTGTCCCACGGGGAAAAACACAGTCGACGTTCTAGGTTTAACGTCAATCCCCACGACGTTTAGCAAGAAAAACGTGACCATCGTCAAAACCGTGGGCAATTGCCGGGACAGCGTTTTATGAATAAAACGTATTCTATCTCGTGTGGATTGAACCGTTTGGTTGACAAAGAGACCACATGCACGCACTGCCTCTTTGGGTGAGGCTGGTCCCGATTTCGGTACCATCTTGGCCGAGGCAGTCGCGGTTTGAGGAAGAACACAAGTATGGCGTCGTTCCCGCTCCCACAGACGTTCTTCCGCTGTCCGCCGTTGTCCGAGAAGGATGAAATCACGCTGCGCGAGTTTGCCGAGCAAGCGTCGGTCGACCTGGTAGGGGCCACAGTCGGAGAAGGATCGAGCTCATGGGGCGTAGGTGCAATACTCGCAACTCGAGAACGGCCCGATCAAGTGGACGCTCCTGGAAGACGACCACGACGTCCAAGTCTTTGTCGGGCACGACCCGACCGCACCGCCACGTGTGATCAGCTACATTTCGTCCACCGAAGTACACGCCACGATCGACGAAGTGTCGGCGCTGTTTCAAGCAGAAACTCCAGAGGACTACGCGACGTACCGGCGCAACTTTGCCAAGGATATCATCGATGGCGCACTCCTGTACACCATAGCCAAGCCCACAGAGACCAACCCTCGGCACTTTGTCGGGGTCAGGTGGATGGTCGTCGGGAGTCCTGTGCCTGCCGTCATCAACCACCGCGATTTTTGCTCCATGGAGGTGTGTGTGTGTTGGCGAATTTCATTTGTCGGTGGTGGGGTCGATTGTGTGCATTCTTCAGATTGGTTCACGGATTTCGTTTCAATTCTTCTGATTGGTTCGTCTTTCAGACGAATTTTTGGATTGGTTGAAACGTTTGTCGTGACAAATCTAGGGACGGTATGACTTTGACGTGAATGGGCGGCGCGGGTGGATGCGATCGTTCAAGTCCATCAAGTTGGGGGCGTGTCCCGACTTTGGGCCAACGCTGGGGCTTGTCCGAGGCAGCCACCACCGCGTCGGCTACGTCTTCCTCGAATCGGACCGGCCAGGGTTCCTCAAAGTCACGCAACTCATGCAACTCGATACGGGAGGGAACGTCCCGACGTGGTTGAATCGATTCAGCGCCAAGCGGCGGGCCCGTTCGATCGGGCAAATCGAGACCCATGTGCGGGAGAAGCGACTCGCCAGCACCGCGTTTGTGTCGGAGGCATTTCTCGTCGACAAGACGCACCGCAGTCGGTGCTTCCTGTGTCAGCGCAAGTTTGGAGCGTTCGGCGTCAAATATTCGTGTCAAAAGTGCGGAGAGGTATGTTCGACGTCGTCGTCCGCAGCATCATGGCGCGCGGGTGCCCCGGATCATGGCTGTGAACGCGTGTGTTGATCGAATGCTGCGTAGGTCGTGTGCAAATCATGCTGTAAAGTCTGGAAGGTGCACATGGGCACTGCCACTGGCACCCGCGTCGAGCCAACGCGGGTGTGCACGACGTGCTCGCTCGGGTCGAGTCAATATGGTGGCTCGGGCAGTTGCCTTGCCATGTCGTCCAGCACAACTCCCAAACGTAAGACCTTGCTTCGTTCGTGCCACCTCGATCGACTTGTATGCGTAGTGGTCGGGTCGTGGACTGGGTCGTACAACGCGAGCCCCTGCGTGACGAGTCTCCCCAGAGGTGGCTTTGCTCCCCCTGGCATGTACGATTCCAGCAACCACGTACCTCTTCAGCCCCACCGCAACAACCTCGCCATACCACCGCAGCGCGATTTGACCCAACCTCCATATTACCACGACGCGAGCTACGACGAATACAATCACGCTCCATTTCGAGACGACCGATTCGACAGCCCCCACCGATATGGCTTTCCCCCGGCCGTGCCGCCCCACGACGATGGCTACGGTCCGTACTACTACGATGGCGGTCTGCAATACCAAGGACAGCCAAAGTCGTCGCCGCAGCCTGGGGCTTGGTGGCCGCCGCCTCGTCCCGACCTGTACGACCAGCGCTATTCACCGGCATACTACCCGCAGCACCACCGCCCCCCGCCTGACCTCGCGCAAGACGATTCTCGGCTGTACTACCCCACCGAGCTCTCCCCTTATCGAACGCTGCCGCCCCTGCCACCAGGACCTCTTCGACAGCTGCCACAACGCGGCCACTCGCCCCGAGCTGAACCTCTCGTGCACCCCGCCCCTGCGACCGCTTCTTTGACATGTACCCCCAAAGGATCGTCCGTCGGAGACGAGCGAAACGATTTGATCCGGTTGGAGGTCGTCAACGTGCCCCATGACGCGGTCCGGAACAAACCAGAGTACGCCGACCTGACCAAGGCGTTCACGGGCGCCCCCGCCACGAGCAGCACGAGCAGCGACGGCAGCTCCCTCTTGGTGCGCAGCACGGCGTCCCAACAGCGCATGTAACCTAAGTTAAATCTGTGGCATTGTCTCGGTGGTCGACTGTCCGGCTTCGTCCTGTTCCCCGTCCGCGGCTTTGTCGCCGGGTGGCACCGCAACGATAGCACGGGGCCAACTGCCATTGCCAACGGCCTTACGAGGGCTACCTGTCGAGAGAGTGTGGGCGATCCGTGGTGCCGGAGCGGTACTACCCCGTTGGATCAATTCGCGGCCGTGAGTCGAATGTCGATGTGCAAGTAGAGCGGCTTCACCGTGAACAGGTGCAAATGCTTCTTGGACGGGTCGCACGGCTTGGTGTAGAGCTCGAGCGCGAGGGCCGCGCTGCCGGCGGCCTTGATCTCGTCCATCTCGAGCATGGCCCAGCACCGGACGCTCTTCTTTCGCTTGGCTTTCTTGTAGTGAACAAACTCAAAGTAGATGGTGCTGTCGCCTACAACGAGTCACACGATGCGTGAGGAAGGGGGCATGTGTGCCTACTTTGCCGGAGGACGTGCAAGTGCGTGCGCAGCACGACCGACATGTCGAAGAAGATGTACGGCGCCGACCGGACGGCCGCGATCGACGTTTCCTGCTTCTCTTCGACAACGACCAAGTCCTTGTCCACGACGGACACGACGATCTGAGGGTCGACGTATCGATCGACGTCCTTGAGGCCGATCTTTTGGATCGTGATCGTGACGGTTTGAGGGGAGTCGTCCAGGCCCGTCGAGTCGGGGACACGTGCCGTCGACGGCAGCGCATCGTGTTTGCTCGACCGCCGGTTGCTCTGTTGGTGCTCTTTCTGCAGGGGAAGCGAGTCCCGCGCGCTAAAAAGGACGACGGTTACAACGCTCGGTTGCCGTGCGGATGATGCACCGTACATGGATGGCGCTGCCGTCGACTCGTCCAGGTCGGCCAGGTCAAGTGGAAACACACGAGGAGTCTTCCGCGTGACGCTGTCCAACACTACATGCACCCGATGACCCATGTCCGATGCCACGTCGAGGCAAACCTTCAAGAAGGACCGCCATGTCGTCTTTGTTTGGGCGCGGGTTGCCGTTGACCGCGCTCAAACCGATTGCCCGCAAATTCATGGCCACGACGACCTTTTCAGCAATGTCGTGCTGGTCGTCGGTGAGGCCCATCGTGGGGAGGTCGGCCAGGATGACGCCCGCCGCTCTACTCAAACATCGCCACCACGTGTAAACGCCACTCGTCAACGCACCCAACGTACTTCTCGTATGCCTCGACAGCTTCGAGGACCTGTCCCCATCCGTCGGCTTGGACAGCTTCCTCCATGAGCTGCATCCACTTTCGATGCCGCTTGGCCATGTCCTCGCCGCCCATCGCAGCCCGATCGCGACCTTTCCAAAAATGCCAAATTCCAGCCAACCCGTCGAAATACTGCCCAAAACGTTACAACCTTGCCAGCACGCGCCACGTCGCGCGGTCAAGCGCACACGGACGGACTGGGCCTGCTTGGCACGACCTCTTCGAGCTCTTCTTGCTGTCCAAGTAGCCGGTCGAGCTCGAGCAATCCGATGGCATCGCGGCACTGTACAGACAGAGATGTTGAATGTTGGTATGCACGTGGACGACAGATACTCGCATGTGAAGGGGTGCCCGACCGCTTATTGTCCAAAGTCGCGAGCGAGGCTCCATGGCAAAGAAGCAACGAGTCCACGGGCCAGGTCACGGCAACTCCTCTGTGCAGCTTCCACCAGACTTGATTCAACATATCGCGACGTTCGTTCCGAATGCGGCCGACTTTTTCAGCTACTTGACGGCATTTCGAACGCAGCCACACGTACTTGGACACCTCGTCCACTTTGAACGAATAGCTGAAGCAATGCTGCTCGACCCGCGCGACCTCTGGCCTCGGTTTCGAGTAGAATCCGCTGTCGCCATGGCGATGTCCAGCCAGTTGGAGAACGCACCAACGCTTCGCCACAGCATGGACACTCTTCTGAGGCACCATGTGCGTGCGGTGGAAGCGACCGTGGCTGTCCACAGTACCCGTGCGCCTCGATCGCTGTTGCAGAGTGTCATGGCACATGCCCACGAAGTTCATGTTCGACTCGTCCAGCCATCGCCGACCGCACCAACGAATCGGCCGATATTGGGATGGGCCTCGTCGCTGACACGTCAAATAACAAAGTTGGCCATCCCGGCGTCGGTCGTTCGCGACTCCACCGAATGGACGATCCTGCTTGCGCAGCTGAGCTCCTTGAACGAGTTGGAGGTGTCCTTTGACGGGTCCGAACGCTCCACTGCGCTCGAGGAAGTGCTCAAGGCATTGGCGACATCGTCGCGCATCTCATCGTTCCATTGTACGTGTCCATCGACGCAAAGTACCAAGTTCGCCATCACATCTTCGATGCTCCAAGACATGATGCAGTGGTTGTCGCAGCCATACGTGAGATCGTTTGGGTTTAGCCACTGGAGCTTCGAACGTGTTGAGGAGTCCGTGCCCCAGTTTTACCAGGCCATTTTGGCAACCACGTCGATGACCGAGGTGGCCATTGCGCACTCACGCCTTCCGCAGCTCCACAAGACGTTCGAGAACCGAGACAACTCTAGGCCGTTCAGTATTCCGTCGATCGCATTCATGGACTGCATGCTAACTAGCCGCGATATTGAAGCACTGGCATGTGGGCTTCGCCTCTCCACCTCTGTTAGAGCGCTCAAACTCTCGAACAACCCGTCCCTTGAACCCGTGGCCGTGCTCGCCCTGGCGCAGGCATTGCCCACGACTCAACTGTCCAGCCTCACGTTGTCGGACGTGCCGCTGTCTGACGCTGCATTGAGCGCATTGTGTGCCGGCGTGGCGGCAACACCTTCTCTGCGGCACTTCGTCCTGCGTCACGTGGCCTGTCGTGGAGATTCCCTTCAAATCATTGCGACATATTTACCAACGATGGCGCAACTTCGATCCGTGGTATACTCGGGCGACACGTACGGAGACAGAGGGTGCAGGCAGTTGTTTGCGTCAACGATGCAGAAACCACGAGAGCAGCTGCGCTTCATGCGACTTCGCACGCTCGACTTGAGTTCAAATAACATCACAGACGTTGGGGCGACGTGGCTCGCTGGAACGTACCTCCCCCGCACGCAGTTGGCCGTCGCTGGCAATCGTATCTCCAAAGTCGGAAGGGTCATGTGTCAAGGCATGATGACATCCGACCCATGCCGCCCGTGGTCGACGGTGCGGACACCCTCGTCCGGCCGCTCTTTCCCTGGGCAATGCAGCTAGCAAGCTGTACCTAAAGCCCACGGGCTAGAAAGCAACATGTACGACGATGCTTCAGCAGAGAAATCTGTCATCGCCGCAGGGAAGGCATGGTGGCCCCGACCTTGCCAAAGTCGGGAAATGGTGCTACATTGATTTGATCTCGTGTTTGTTTTTGTTATATGCGCCAGCGCCGTTAGTCTAATGGTTAGGATTTCTCCCTTCCAAGGAGAAGGTCGGGGTTCAATTCCCCGACGGCGCACACACTTTTACCTTTTGCAACAACGCCTTACAACTTGGTTATCTTGGCGCTGCACCGATTCGGCTTGTCTTCCTTGGGCTGCATGATGTGTTTTTGATGTACAATGTTGGGCTGAGGGAGTCCCGTTCGCACGTGCTTTTCAAGCGGCTCGTGCTTGTCGACGTTGCGGGGGGCGTGCACGTGGTGGGACGGATGCACATCGTGCCCCGATTTGACTGCGATGGCATGTTGCGTTCGTTCTATGGACAAACACTCGGTCAAGACGACGTGCGCCCACTTGGACATACGTTGCTCCATCGTCGACAGCAACGCATGGTACTTCTCCTTTACGTCGTCCGGGGCTACGAATGGTTTGTGCTCGGTATCATCATCCGACGTAGATCTAAGCCCAACAGGACACAGGGTAGGATGAAGCACCATGGCGGGGGGGAGGGCAAGCCTTCGTGAATCATGTATGTACCTGACGCAGGGGCCTTTTGACGACGGGGAAGCTTCTGATGCTTGAGCCATAACGTCTTGGACTAGAAGCGAGACCGCCTATCGAAATATGCAGGCACACCAAGACCTTGGCCTTAACGGTCATTTCCACGATTGGGTGTTGCATTGGACACGAGCAGTTAGGGTTCAATTGTCGCAACACCATACCATCGAAGGGTTGGAGGCGGCGGAGACTGCAAAGAGTGTGCTGGCACATCCTAAACGATGCCCGGCCGCGTCGGTACATGAAAGTCTTGGGAGATTAGCTCCAGTCGATTGGGTACTGCAGACGATCCAACTGAGCCAGGTCGATGTGTCGGCTACGCCCCCCCCACTGCACTCAAACTATGCTCAATCTTTGTCAACCCAGTCGGGGGCCATGCGAGGCGGCGAGTAGTCAAGAGTTTGGCACGCGAGGGGTGCCGACGTGATGGCCCGCTCGCTTCATCCACCATGGAGAACTGGAGTAGAAGAGGGCAGCCGATGACAGTAGACAAGTCGTCGTCTACCACAGTAATTTATAAGCCTGGACGACGATGTTTTGACGTAGGATTCAATCAAGAGCCCTACAATGGACAAAGGAATCGTCAGCCAAAGTCTCTAGTGGTGCGCTCCACTGTAAGAAGGTAGGGCATGCGTCAGCGCCACTACTCGTGGGCGAGCAAGGGAGAGCAAGTCCTCTGACACAAGTGTGTGCGAGTCGAGGACGTCGTCAAGGGACCAAAAGGTCATCGACGAGTTGTGACGCTGGAGGTAGCTACTTGCGCATAAGAAAAGACGACCATTGTTATCCAAACATGCAATCGTGAAGTGTCCCGTGTATCGTCGCGTCCATGCTGTGCTAGCATGAGCCTGCCCGGTTCGAACAGGAACTGATGGGTGTGTACCGCTTGGCAACATCCATCCATCCGTACTACAATCGACCCCGCAGAGGCTGCCACCGCTCGTCGTCGTAGCGTTTCGCCATTCCGACATTTGCCTCGTCAAACCAACTACTCGACATGGTAATACTCGCCGTCGTTGCCACCATTGCCGCCACCACGGTGACCGCCGCCAACATTGCCTCCAGCGTCCACCGCCTCTTGGAGGTCGCCGATTCCGTCGACGTCGTGGTCGAGTTCAAGGACGGCAACACCCGCGCCCTTCGTAGCGCCAAGTTGGAACTCAACTCGATCCAGGAACGCGGCCCCCGCATCGCCCACCTGCGCTCGCTCTTGGTCAAGACGATGGAATCATCGCAGAAAGAGGCGCTCGAGGGTCATCGCAGAAAATGCAAAAAAGTGATTTGGATCCGCGACAGACAGTTAGGGCTATGCATATGCAGAAGGCTGTCCATATCAGGAATCACACCGTCAGCTACCCTGCAATGCTGACACCTTTCGTACCTCCGACACGTACGACGAACCACGGTGGCATCGACCATTTTGAGGCGCCTAGTGTTGAAGAGCGTGCTCTCTCCAGCGTCGCCCCTTTGGTGTTCAACCACAAATGCCCCGCATAGAAAATCCGCCTGCCTCGCCGGAAATCCCATCCAATCTAGTCATCACGACGTACGACGCCCAGACTGACCTTGACTCAAGCAGTTGTTTTGCGGAAAGCGTAGCCCAATTTGAGGTTACCGTCTAGCGTAATTCGAGTCGGACAGCCATTACGAGTCGGACACCCATGTAAATCAATAAATTAATGACGAAGGCTAAGAAAAAGTATCAGAGGTTTCCCCGCGCGCCAAGATACACCTCAACACTTAATATACCCTCTACAACCCAATAAACTATTAATTTATAGAGGTTTTATGCGCGCGAAATAGCCTATCAAGGCTGAGCACCATGCATTCACGTTTGGGCCATGGAAGACGAAGAAGCTGCGGTGCAGCCTCGACGAGGGAGACCGGTGTCAAAGTACGGCCCCAAGAAGAAGCCAAAGCAGTACTACTCTGGTCCATAATAGTTGTTAGCAAGTTTTTCACTGGATTAAAGTATGAGTTGCCATCAGGAAATATCTTAAAATTTGTATGTCACTTCAGAAACGAATATGAAAAGGAAAATTTTTTATGTATTT